CTTCTTATTCCCACACATCAAAAATAAATTACGTGGACAACGATTTTCGACCCCCGAAGAAGCGGTTGATGCATTCAAAACGCATGTTTTGGAGTTACCTCAATCGGACTGGAAAAAGTGCTTTGAAAATTGGTTCAAACGCATGCAAAAGTGTATTGATCATCATGGAGAATATTTTGAAAAATAATAAAACCAATTTCGATCGTACATATTTGTTTTTTTTCATTATTAGGCCAGAAATATAAATAGCAACCCTCGTAATGAAGGGTTGAGAAAAGATGAAGAGAGCTAGCTGGTATGACTAAAGAAGAAAAATTCTACTCTTTATTTGATAAAAGAAATATGACTGTGTACCTTTCAAATCATTATATATTAAAGTAGAGTCAAATTGAAGATTTCAAAAAGAAAAAACCATAATTCAAATGAAGTGTTAGAAGTGATTATCCTTTTTCACTGAACGAGGTAAACATAGTAAATTCAGTTCTTTTTTGTGACTAAGGCTGAAAGGTGATGCTAAATGGTAGGCATTAACTATACTAATTTATCTTGTATAAAAAAAAATACTCGCAATCTGTTTCCAATTGAGTGCAGATGGTTAAATAAAATTGAAAATTCGCTCATTTAAAATGATAAATTTAGTCTAATCATCTAATAAGTTATTTAATTTAATAGCAGTTTTACAAATGAATCTCTAATAAATTAAATAAAAACGATCACCATGTTTAAAAAATCAACTATAACTTATTTGAAATGTTAATTCTTGTGGCTGATTTTACACTCTTTTATTTAAAAAAAGAATTATTGATGAATTATCCGATATTAAATTTTTTATAAAAGAACAATTTTGTTACTAAACATGAATTTATTACTATAAAAATAGTTTTAAAAGTAATATTTTTTCTTGATGAAATAGACTTTAGACATTTTATGTAGAACAAAATATGGCTTAATACATTGTTGTAGTTGTGACATATTAATGAACAAAATTAGAGGTCAATTAATATAGTCTGAGACTCATGTTCAATTTTTCATGCTCATGTATAAACATTTCAAGCAAAATAATTTATCTCTACTATTTAATACAAACTAAAGAATCTTTTTTTAAAAATTATTATTTGAAGGGGAAACAAAATATTTCATCCCTTTGATGAGCATAAAGAGAAATAGCAAACGCATTTTTGTTACGCAAAAAATTATAAATTTATATAAATGGAGGCATGGACAGGAAGAGCCCTGTCCTGAGGTCATAGAATTTAACAGGGCTCGAAAAAATTCAGAAATTTTACCCGTCCCCGAGGACGGCATTATTGTAAATCATTGTCCATCAATGTACCCGTCCTCCTTTGAAACTAACCCATCGCTTCTAAATAAATAAAAATATAATTTTATCTTATTTATTACAAACATTTATATAAATTGCACAATGAATTAGTAGTTACTAGGATTACATTATACAGTAATAAGAGAAATACTAGGTTACTAATTCGCGATCGCAGCACTCGAATACGCCATCTGGGGAGAGACCGGTTTCATGCAATTAGCCCTTCTCCCTTCNTATGAAATAATTTAAATGACAAAGGTCAAGTTATCTGGAATGTCAATTTATCCGAAGGTACTGCGTTTTTAAAATGAATCGAATATGGCGTTTGCCAGTTCCACAATCAAGCCAATGATTTACAGAGGTTTCTGCACAGAAATCTGGAAGAGGTTTTCCATTTAGGTAGATGTTCATAATTGCAACATTCCGCGTCCGCATTCCGGCCGTCCGCGCGGACGTCGGATTCGAGAAATTCATTGTCCGCGGGGAATTTTTGACCGCCGAGGACGGGCGGACAGGCGGTTTTTCGAGTCCTGGAATTTAATATTAGTTTTCGTCCCCAAAGAATGTTATTTAACTTAATTTTTGTCAAAATATGAAAATTATTTATTAATGTCAGTGATTTGTTAATCAATGACTTTAATCAACGTGACCTCTGCATATTTTGATCAAGTACTGATTTGTCTATGCGTGCGGCATAACGAGCTTTCAAACATCGTATGTAGTACGATATTTACTGTTTCGCCTCTGTTGTGTAGTTTGCATTAATATTTTTATAACCTTGTTAAATGAAGGGCCAGCAACGAAATAAAGATTCTATTGATTGCAATAGCAATAATTTAAAATAAGTACATGCAAATATTTTAAATTTATGTAACATAAAATATTTTAAAATAAGATACAGCGAGGAAAAAAAAATTCATTTTTGCTGTAACCAGCTCTTTTTTTTACCCAGAATCGCACGTGTTTATCAAAACACTTGTTTAGATACTCGTTCATTAAAGTTTTTAATCTAAGTCAGTAAATAACTTATTTCGATTTTTCAGTTAAAAAAAAAAAAGATCTATTTTATTTTTTTATTCAAATTAATTTTTTATATTTAAAAAAAATTATTTATATTCGGACTAACATTTTTAAGTTTGTTTGAAGCAGTGAATATAAGGTTTAGATAACAATGAATATAAGGTTTAACAGCGGTTATAGGGTTTACCATAATACTTGGAGATTTAAGAGCGTAATTTACGAAAAAAAAACTAAGTGTTTAGTTTGAGAAAGATTGTGTTATCAATATTTTTATTGTTCATATTCTTTTGAGTAGGAAGATTCAAAAGTTTTAGCTATATAAATTATAAATGTATAAACTTTAAAAACTGAAATATTGTTTAACAAATAGTTAAGACATTGACAAAAAGTGATTATAATATTTGTTTGACGTTCCGAACTGTGTGCTGTTTAAATTCCACATAAACCTTCAAAAACAATTCTAATCGAAAATTCTGATTTGGAACTATTGGCCTGTAAGTTCCAAACAAATGACTGGAGGGCAGAATTACAAATTGGATAATTTACCACGTATTTGACGGATTATGATGGAATACCTGAAAGACGGAGCTACATTTTCCCCCATCAGAAAAATGTTTAAGGCAACTACTCACTGTTTTAGTTTATTTTTCGAAAACAGCTGCTGGACCTTGTTTTATTAATTCAAAATACTGGTGTTTGCTCTCAATTTCTTTTTAAAAAATTTTTAAAAAAATATTAGGAGAGCATATTTTTTTCGTTTGAAATTGTATAGTTTTAGGAAAGATGCGTTAACGTTGAATACATAATAAAAGGTTTTTACTGGTTTAACTTTTTTTCTTTTGTATAAGAATATTCTCATACATTTTGAAGAAATGCAAAGAATTGTTAAGGTAAACCTAATATTTTAAATTAAAGTTTTTTTTTAATTCAGTTTAACAGATTTTTAAAAGTATATAATTTATTAATTAAATTAAAATAAATACTTATATTGATTGTTTCATTCACTCTTGTTTTAATATTTTTTTATTCGCTACATATTAAGAATTTAGTTTCATTTTTAAAAACATCGCATTAAAAGCTTCGTAGTGAATAAAAAAAACTTAACTATTCAACTTTCATTTTAATTTGTTGTTTTCAATATATATATATAAAATAAAGGATTTGTATGTGTGTCTGTATACCGGATATCGGGTAAACGGTATACTCTTGGAATACGAAATTGAACATGAAGCTGAATGAGTACAATTGCAAACTTTTTACGAAGCCCGATTTTCGATTTTTGTTGTTGTTGTTGTTAATTTACGTCGCACTAGAGCTACAC